TATTTAAATCTTAATTGTAGTCGCCAGCTAGTCACCTGAACGTGCCAGAATGTTCATTCGTCAGAATTATAAAGCTTTAAGAATATTTCTATAGAGCTGCTATTTACAGCATCACTATACAGTGAGATCTAATAAGATAGCATGATTTTTTTCTCTCGCAGTTTCGAAAAATTTTCATGAAAAATAGCTGCTATTTCAGATGGTCAGATTCTGATTAGAAGGCCTCTAATTACATCTGATTATTTTAATCTCATTATCTCTGGATTTATATTCCTTTCCACTATTTTTCAATATGTATAAAACATTCAGAAGTCACATTTACGGAATACATAATACAATTCTCTGGATCAAAAGAATTAACTTTTCTTCTGGCAAAAATGTATCCAAATATTTTTTTTCTCTTACTGTTTGATATAGAAAATTATATTATGTTATATAGAATCATAATATTTCATGTAGATAAATTCTCAGATATTCTATGTATACATAATACCTGTCATTTTCCTTGATGTTGAGCTCATTATCCAATAGGATTGCTTTCAATGCCTCAATCTCATCAGTCACTCTGCAAATATCATAAACATTAAAATAATAGCACTTAAATATAGCCTAATTTAAAATAATTAAATCTATTTAAAATAATAAAAATTATTGATTAAATAAATCTATTATAAGATGTATAAAGATGTGATAAAGTACTATGTCACTTTAGATGTAAAGGCACATCCATTTAATAATTTGCATCTTTATTTAGATCAATAAAAGATTGACAGATATTTCCACCTTTCTTTTTCTCATACACAACAGAAATATATGTTCTGTAATATCGTTTAAATAAAGTAAATATTATGAAAATAATTAACAAAAGGATAGCAATAAAAATAAAATAATTGTGTTAATGATGAGTCTACGCGCATATTGACAAAGCAAAAATATAAGAACAAAATCGTTAGAAGATACATATTAAATACAGATTAAAAAACGAATCAATAAAACGTAATCGGAAAATATCTTTCAGGACGAAAATGACTTTACTCAATCGAAGTAATGTCGAGAATTCCGAGAGGGATAGATGTCAGATCGGCTCACGTTAATATTGATGAGTGTTGACGATAGTTACCGTTCATCCATCATCGCGTCCGACATTGTTTCTTGTTCGAGTGAACGTCGCCGAAAATCCGTATTTCTTTAGCTGTAAAAGGCGATTTCTTTCGCGGATAAACGCGACTTGTTCTCACAAACTATACAAACTATACGACACAATCGCGATGGTGAGAGCGTCGAATACACTACACGATACGCGTCGATATTGAGTGCATCCAGAAGCACGACCGCTCACTGAGCGCTCTTGTATCTGTTTGGTCTATATTTTTCGATCTAATGGAATATGCCAATCAGATGCAAGAGCTCACTGAGCGCTCAGTGAGCAGTCGTGCTTTTAGGTTTCTATTCTCGAAAAATATCGTATACAAAAAATTAAGGAAATATTATAGTATGCGTTACATATACTATAGCATTTCTCTAATTTTCGTATGCGACTTTTCGAGATTAGAGACCCTGGATGCACCCATTGAAATCTTTCTGCTAGCACAGTCGAGTACAAGCGGATCCGATTGGCACCATTGGCTCGCCTGTTCGCCAATCACTGTTCACCAACTATGGGCAGACCGTTCATTGGTTCAGCATCGCGCTTGTCCGATAATTTGAAAATTGATCTAATGTCCGAGGGGATCGATTATGGATTTTGAAAGCAGGTGGAAATTACAAAAGTGAGCAAAGATTACAAGACTAATTAAATTATGAATACTCTAGTGAATTTGCTCATTTTTGTAATTTTCAACTTATTTGAAGATACACAGATCGACCCCCAGAGTATTTCCTATGACTAGGGCTACGTTCCAAAACTTCTTCTCCAAGGAAAATTTTATTTAAAATATATAGTAACATATATTATAGAGTATAGAGTAAAATAGAGTATAGAGAGCACACACAACACACACACACATATAGATTAAAATCTTTCTCAGAGAAAGTTTTGAAACGTAGTCTTCACAGGGAGAGAGTGGCAAATTGCATTACGTGAATGCTCACGTCCAATCAGGATGGGGGGGGTCACGTGACTAGTTTTCTCCAATTTCTTCCATGCCTATGGAGCTTTGATGCCCATGTCCAATCAGAGGAGACGGGTCACGTGATGAAATTTGCCACTCTCTCTCCCTATAAGGCTCTCTACTTATAATAGTCGAATTTTGAAAAATACAATCTCGGAAAATGCAAATTCGGAAAAATCATATGACCAATCAAAACCATTTAAGTTTAGCACGTTATACAAATAAATAATTAATTGTATGATTTTTCTGATTGATCGTACTACTTTTCCAAGATTCAGTTTTTCGAAATTCCAAATCGTAGGACGATATTCATAGCCGAGTCTTATTTCAAAATCGTCGTAAAGTCTTAAGATGCTAATACTTTCTAATACTCTCTGATTGGTTCATGATAATCTTCAGAATATATTTAAGAAGGTCTTAAATATAAGCTCCGACTGTGAATACCGGTCTAAAAATTAAAAACCTGCGTAACATGTAGCATTAAAGGTTTTTATTCCTGCATTATAATAGAAGACTGCTCTATAATAGAATTCTTTTTCTCTTTCTGATTGATCAGCGTATCAGCATTAAGTGATCACATCCCAGATTGATACAGAAATAGTTCTGTATTAAAAGTATTAAATTTTAATTTTCAATTGGAATAGACCTTTTTTAAATCTGTTAGATTAATTACAAATTTGAATTTCTAATAAATTTTAAAATTCTGTAATATATAAAAATTTAAGAAGCTACACTTATTAAATGTTAATAGATAAAATTTGAAATATTATAGTTCTTTGAGTTAAATAACATTTTGTTACATTTAATTTATTTTTTAAGTGCGTCAAAATGTGTTATTTTAATTCAAAACTATGTAATTAAAAAAATGATTTTATCAATTCAATATACACATATTACAAATGATTGAATTGCAAATTAGTTTTAAACTTTGAAGTAATTAAACAGTTTATGTTAACGTGTGTACTCAACAATTAATAAAGCTAAATTTAAGTCAAATTTAATACATTTATTGAATTAAATTATTTAATTCCATTGTTTTAGTTAAACTAATGACATATATTGAGTAGAAGCGATAGGAATAATTAAATGTTCCATAGGAATAATTAAAAATGATTGGATATAATTTGATATTATAAATTTAAGGGGATTCTAAACCCTTCTGTTTTACCACGCAAGCACGTATAATTTTTGTATAAGAAATATTTTTTTCTCTTTCATCGATTCAAAAATCTTTTTTCAGGATTAAAGTATATGTATTAATACGTGTCTGGAAAGTGGAATCTATGCCGAGAACGATCAAAAATTTCAAAATTGATATATTTTTTTACCATTTCTTAGTGTTGGACATGGCGTCTCAGCTGTCAAGTCGTGACAACATTTGTTTGATATGAAAGCTTTGCAACTTGTACATACGAAATAGTGATTCCCAGAAACACATGCACACACGTAGTTTACACGAACGAACAACGTCGAGTTTTTAGACGCTTTATTACAAGGAATTTATTATATGAAAATTGACACGTACGTATGACTGCGTGTATCATAGGTGCGTGAAATATTGCTGTGGTAATATAAAAAGACATGTCGATGTGCGGCGCATGGCGCGACTTTTGGTGATTTCGGAATTTGAGTTCTTTGCTTTAGGATCCAAAAAGGATGTAAAAATGTCTAAACTTTAATTTAGATAAATGAAAAGCTCATTATAAATTTTCACAATTTTTGTTTAAACGAAATTCATAGCGCTGCTTTGCTTGTATCGTGACATCTACATGATTAAAAAAAAAAAGATAATTATATCAGAAAAAAATTTCAATTTTAAGAATCTATTTTTTGAATTGCGATACGATGATTTTTAACGACGATATAATTAGGGCCAAATATTATTTTTACTTAATCTGATAACTGAAATAACAAAACATAAAAGAGATAAAATTTTCTCTATAAAATCGTTTTCTGAAAATGTTCCTAAGATTTTTTATTATTCAAATTATTATAAAAAGAGCATTTGGCCCTTAATCACTGATAATTATATCGTCGTTAGAAATCGTATCGCAATTCAAAAAAGATATTACCGTACATATCATGTATTAGATACAGTGCCTACAAAGAAAATTAAATTTGTAGAAGTATGTTTAATATTTACATTTCAAATAAGTTATATACATATAAAAATTGTGTGTATAAGATTATATTTTTGTTTAATAACACATTTTTGTACTTTATTTATTTTATTTGTAATTATTCTTATTGTTAAAAATTAAAATTTTAAAAATAATTAAACATTTTTCTTTTATTTAAAAGTACTTTCTTTTATTTAAGTACTTTAAAAATTCAAATTAATTTATGCAAAATTTCATTGCAATTCACTGATGATTAGTTACGAAGATATATATAGAACAAATAAATATTTTGTTTATTTATTGGACAACTAATTCATGCATTGTAAGTTTACGTAAATAATCTTCAATATATAATACTTATATTAAAGATTGAGATTTTTGATCATTTATTTTATAATACATTTTCATATATTTTTATTAAAATATAGATTTAAAAAAATATTATTAGGTGTTGGAATTAATTCGTAGCGTTTTTAATGAAAGAATGTTATTTATTTCACATGAGCATTAAAAAATACATTAATGAAAGTACTTCCCATCACTTGTAAAACGCTACGAATTAATTCCAACACCTAATATTTATTAAAATAACATTACTTATGATCCAAATAAAACTGTCACTAAATTTGTCATATTATTTTTAAACGCGATGTAGAATAATCTGTAGTTTTTTCATAATTTTGCTATTGTTTTGAAAATATGTATAAAACATCGTTAAATATTATAATAATAAAATTATGATAATAAATATTTATGTCACAATAATATTTTATCTCTGTCCACACATGTGGCCCATACACCACTGACCAACGTAAATAGAATTGTTTGCTCTATCCACCAAGATACCTTTGCCATGTCGAAGACCATCCACAAAGTCACCTTCATACCAACAATTATTATTCCATTTCAAGAGACCTTTTCCCTGAATTTTATTTTGTTCGAATTGACCCTATATAATTCTTTAAATTTATTCTTGCTAAAATTACTAGTTTTTCGAATGATTATTAATATCAAATGAAGAATATATCTTAGTAAATGTTTATTAGCATCGAAAATTATTAAATTATCAATTTAATTATGATTCAAGTATATTTATCGATACCTTATATTGAACGCCATTATGCCATGTATAGGTTCCTTCACCTTCCATCATTTTCTTGCTAATACGACCGCAATAAGAATTATTGTTGTAAAACTTTATGTTTGCAAATTCATCCGGCAATGAAAGCTTCCATGATGGAACGGTTATTATTTTATTCTTTTCCTTCTGTTTTTCTACGAACGAATCATTTTTATTGTAATCATCAATTTCTTTATTTTCCTCTATAGTTTCAGCATCGTCCTGACTAAATCTTTTCGCCAATTTCTTTCGCAAAAAATATCCGTCCCATCTGTATTGACCAAAATGAATTAATAATGTAATGAATTAATAATAGTTTTTAATTGTATTATATCATATAAAATATACTCGGCTACAAAAGCTGGAAGTATGTTGTTGTATAATAAATAGATAAATTCTTGTTTAGTCGTATATTTACGGCGTTTTTCAGCCAATACGTCTTCGAATAGTAATTCGTCGTTCGTAGTTTTTTCAGTTTCTATCGAAACTATATCTTCCTCAAATAAATCTTCTTTATGTTCTTTATCGTTTTCCGTTTCATCAGGAAGAATTAAAGATTCTGTTTTTTTTCTACACTTACGTAAAATTTCTTCCTGCAATGATTTCATATCTAATTCTTTTGTCACATATTCCATGTTATTATTTATATATACAATTAATGATAATATGCATTTGTATATATGAGAATCATGGATGAATCGTGAATATAATCTTATTGCTTTTTGCATTACAAATAATACTATATTCACGTGATATAAAATGACGTAATAAAAAGTTGGTTGTTGAATTAATATATTATTTTTGTAGATATTTAATGAAGAAGTTACTGACTGATATAAACTTTTTCCACATTTAATTTATGAAGAGAAAATAAGAGAAAATATATACACGTCTATATATAGAACACAAAATGCTGAAAAGGAAGAAAATAACCGTAAGACTACTTTAATTTATACATGTTTTAGATATAAATTATATGTTTTTTAAATATAAAACATAATATTTAAAAAACCTAAAATGTTTATTACCATATAATTTAATTGCACCACATATATTTTTACTAATATTTGATTTAAGAAATACGCATTTTATTATTATAAAAACATAATGTATGAAAATAATAAGAATATGGAAAAATATTTTATTTTTAATCTGTAAAAATACATGTAAAATATAAGTACTACTAAAATATAAGAAATAATATATGAGTGTACTTGTTAAAATTTAACAGTTTTTGATGGTTACTTTCTATAGGGCTTTTTACATATTTCTTTTGTATTACAGTCTATTTCATCTTATAGTAATGAAGATGAAAATGTTGATGGACCTTTTATATTTGATGTTCCAATAATGTATAATGAAAAAGTTAAAATTCATAATTGGTTAGTACTGCAATCTATTTTTATTTATTAAAATAAACCTAATAATGCAACAAATATTCAATAATTAAAACATCTGTTAATACTTTAGAGATAATATATAACAAATACTTTTTTATCTACTTTTAATTAGGTTATATTTAACTGAAATTTTATTTAAGATTTAATTCATATTTAATCTTAAACAATATAAATGTTATAATAAACAATAACATTATTTAATGTTTATTTCAAAATGTTTTTGATTTTTTTTTTATATACTTTTCTTGTATTCTTTCGTATATTACAAATTTTCTTAATTTTCTATTTCTCTTATATAAATCTTCTAATTTTCTAATTAAATTCTAATTAATTCTCTAAACGATCCATTTATTTCTATAAGAAAAAACTTTTACGTGCGAGAATTCATTTTTTTTACAAATATGAAATATTTTAAATAATATAATTAAACAATAAAATAATTTTTTAAATAATGATATATTTATTATTTACATGGATAAATTATGATACAATTGTACATATTCAAGCTTATTTATACACGCATTTATACATGTATAAGGAAATATGGGGGGAGTAGTTACCGTGGAGAAAACCATACATTGTTAATCATAGCAACGTAGTAATTTCACACCTTACAAGAATATTCACGTTTTTGTGTATTGTTATTTGACATAGAGAGTACAAGTAATTATGTAATATTTGAATTAATTAGCGTGATAATAACTATTAAAAAATATTACTTTGCATCAAGATAAATCTTTATTGTTGTCAAAAAAAAAAAAAGAAGAATGAGTGCACATATAATGTAGGCAATGTATACAATACATATATATATATATATATTTATATATATTTACTGTTATATATATATTTTTACCTAATATATTAACTAATTAAGAGTAAAGTGATAATTATTTCCATAGTAAGAAATGTTATTTTTTAAAAATACTTTTAGTTCTTATCTTTAATTCATTATTTATATGTTAAATTATATATGGAAGTATTATTTAAATTTTTTAGAAATACAACAAATTGATATTATAATTTATATTAATTACTAATATTAATAAACGGTTTTATTGCACATATTATGTTATAACATTAACTAATATAATTTAATATTATAATGTTATAGTAAATTGTGTTTAAATTACGTTTATGTTATATTTAATATTATGTACTAAATATTTAATATTTAAGTAAATTTAATTTAAATAATATAAAAAATTGCATTTAAATGAAACTCAAATTTCTCTGTGTTTTCTGCTTGAATTAATTAACAGGCAAATGAAAACTTTGTCGGAGCCTAGAGATAACGTGAATATATTTCCACCAGATGGGAATCTTCACAAATCCTCATATCGAAAATTTGGTCCAGAAAAAGAAGTTACTGGGATTTCAGAGACATGCGCTATGTTATCGCAAATTAAATTAAAAGACGAATATAAACCGCTTGCTTGTCCACGACGTAGTTTACTCACAATGCAATCGCTCGCTTCAGCGGAGTATGTATTCCTTACGTTTATATTTCAAAAAAATATCACAGATAAATTATATACAGATACATATATTTAAAAAATTTATTTTATTACAATAAACTTTCATTTTTGAAAGACAATTAATCTAAAATTTTCCATTGTTTTTTTATCTTTTTGATAGAAGAGTAAAATATTGCAAAAACTCTTTCTCTTTATAATGTTATTCTGTAATATAATTTAATTATAATTTACTATCAATGTAATTTAATATTACTTATATTAGTAATATTAATTATAAGATTATTATTATACAATTATAAGTTATAAAAATTTAAACATTAATAAAGAATTTTTCACACAATACAAAATATATTTATTTTAAAAGAATTAAGAATAATTATACTTTTAGCTTATTTTAATTATAATTTTTAGCTTATTCAGCTAATTTCTTTCATCAAGTTTTAATACATTCATTCATAATTCAACATTTTTTTAAGGAAGGATTACGAGGAAAAAATAGTAAAATTGGCAGACATCCTTTTGGATCCCATGGTCAGTTGTCAGACGAGTTATCGCACCATTACAAGCAGTGATTATCGGTTGCCTTATCCTCTGAAACCAAAACCACCACCATCACCACCACTATCTGAGCCGTGGTTATTAAATCGTCGTACTATTGGCTATGATCTTCAGGATTTGGAAAATCGTTGCGGATATCACACATTTTTAGATGATAATATGGATCTTCATCAAAGAATAGCAGAATTGAAAATGCAAAGAAGGCAATTGTATGAAATTTCAACAAATAGTAAACACTAATAAAAATCTATTAATGATTAAAAAATTTCATATAAAAATATATAAAACTTTTGACTTATGAAATAGATTTATATAAGCACTAAAATGAAAAAAAATTATTTATTACAAAATTATTTAAAGTGTTAGATAAATCTAAGCTAAAATATCTTGAATAAATTAAGGATAATGAGAATAATATGCAGAATAAATGTAATAATTATCTCTTTATTCATTGTAATAAAATACATAAGAACTAACAGAACATTTTTTGGCGAGTAAGAGCTGATTTTATTTTCGCACTTCATCATATATCAGTTCCAATATATTTTAATACACAAAAGAAGTTGAATCAGTCAAAATTAGTAGTTTTTTTAAACAATGTCTATTTAATTTTTTCCAAGACAATTTATAAAATTTTATCTTCATAATTAATAAAAGTGTCATTGTGTTGTAATATTCTAAAAAAATATAATAGAGTAATAAAATTATAAATTCGAGATAATGAAATTGCCAGCGTATTTTTGAAAAGAGTAGATTAAATTTATGTATGAAGATCAAAGATGAAGAAACTGGAAAAGGTAGAATAACGTGACTCAATCATAATAATAGCTGCAATGTAAAATATATTCTATCTACATCTAGCACACGAGTGTGAACGATCACTATTTACGATGTAGAGAAATTCGACATGATGTTTTACTCGATATTTCTGCCAAGTCGCGAATGCCCATATTCCTCGTCGTCCCCGTTGAACCGTTTGCCGAATCTCATATGACCATAATCGTCCAGCTGCTGGCGCTTGCTAAGTCGTAGACTATCCTCGTCCTCGCCAACGAGATCCTCTACAAGGTCCTTCACGAGGCCTTCTACAGCGTATCTGCAACAAAGCACGCGATATATAACCAGAATATCATTCATGCTTATTTTTAATAATTCTTCAACGTATGCTAAGTTTACACCGACGTGTATATCTCATTTTATCGTTCAATTCTCCAATTCGATTTGTAAGTATACTCGGTTATTAAATTAAGAAATATAATAAATGTAGTGATTTTGTTATCCAGCGACAAGTATGGAAAGTGGATAATTTTATTTCATGTAAAACATAAAAACAATTTATATATATATATTTAAGTCTGTATAAATATTTTTAAAATGAAGGTTTTGATTTTTTTTTACTGAAAGCGTCAAGGTTGAATATTATTGCAATCAATAGTTAATATTTTTATTCCAAGATAGGCGGATACTCCCATACTTATCGCTATGGGTAACAAAATTACTACTGGCCTCTTGGTCTATATATATGAGCAATTACCCGCGAATATGTGGATGCTTTCCTAAATTGCGATGGATTCCAGTGATTAATCCAGGGGCTGCTTTACATCTTCCGCAGAACAACCACATGACCGCGATCATGCAGGACAGTGCAAGAGTTAGATTCATGTCTGTAATCATAATTATTATATTTTTAATTTTATTGCAAATTGTTGTCAAAGATATAAACAGATTGTTAATCTCTGAATATATTTATTTTCTGTAATAGCAATAATCAATAACGGTAATTGCATTGTAATGTATTCTTCACTTTTATCTTTAAATTAAATTTATAAAACTAAAATAAATATTCTCAATAAATGCTACAAATCGAATTATATGGTTTCTATCTTCTAGAATCTATTAATTTTAATTAGTTTACTTAAATAATAATTATAGATCTCTCTTTAAGAATAATACTAATCACAACAGAATTTTATAAACAACTATATACAATAAAATGAGACTCAAAAAAATCTATCAATGAAAAATATATTAGGTGTTGGAATTAATTCGTAGCGTTTTACAAGTGATGGGAAGTACTTTCATTAATGTATTTTTTAATGCTCATGTGAAATAAATAACATTCTTTCATTAAAAAACGCTACGAATTAATTCCAACACCTAATAAAAAAGCCCATCAGAGTCTACATTAGCTGTTCGGATGCACAGAAAACTCTTTATTTTCGTGTGAATGTAACAAAACGAATAAAACAAATGTTTTGACCTTTCAAGTATCAATATAAAATATAAAATATAAATCGAAATTACATAAGTAACGCAAATTCCAAGATGGTGATTTCCGACAATTTAGCTCGTTCTTTTTTAACCAAATGCTAAATTAGATAAAGTAAAACCGAAGTCATACATTGCGTCAATAAGTAGAATCACATCGCTCATCAGATTTGATGTAAGCGTTTCTCGCGATTCATAAAGGTCTTGTGGTATCGACAGTCAGAGATGAAAAAATGACTTCGGTTTTACTTTATCTAATTTGGCATTTGGATAAAGAAGAACGAGCTAAATTATCGGGAATCATCATCTTTAAATTTGCGTTACTTATGTAATTTTGATTCATATTTTATACTGATTTCTTTATTTCAAAAGTGACATAATGACTTAAAAATGTGATTTTTTATTTATTATTATAAATGATTTAATATAAGTATCACTTTATCACGAGAAAGAATATTCAATTTAGCTTTACTATCAATCGAGGAAGATGTCTTAATTGATTTAAATTTGCTGAAATTGTCAAGAAATTTATGTCGATTAAAGTTCGAAGAGGTGTTGGTTTGTAAATGTATGCGAATAAAATGTTGTTAAAAAGCTTTGACTTTCACTGATACAGCACAGAAGCTTGCAGAAACATTGCTGTATTTGCAATATTACAACAATGTTGCTGGAACATTGCAATGTTGCAAAAAAGCTCTGTGCTGTATAGTCTTTGTCTTTCAATTATCTTGAATTAATAATAGTATTGTCCGGGCTCTCTCAACTTTGTCCTTATATACAGTCTACCTTGTTTTTTAATTTCACTTGACTATATCCCTTGATATCAGGAAATAAAAAACAAACAAAAGCAAAGAAAACAGAGAAAAGTTAGTTGTTAATTTTTTAAAATAAATATCTGTAATATTAATGATAAAAATAATATTTGTAAATAATATCTGTATATTAACGATCGATCGGATTATAATGAACAAGAGATAATGGAAATCGGTGAATTTGCCTGCGTATATAACTTGTAAGAACTTGCAAATGTGTAAGGAGATAATGTTTCCAAAACTATCCTTATACTGGCTTACCTGCGTGTACTGGATGCCGGAGAAATTGGCGATGGAGTGTACAAAAAGCACAGTGGTGGCTTTTTATATCGCAACCGTCTTCATTCCCCTTCCTGAGGCTGAAAAAATCGCGCGGGGGTGAAATCGCACGCGGGATGGCGTTGAATTTTAATTTACTGCCGCAAGTACCGATAAACAATTTTCTTCCGTCTTTCTGTGAACCATTTCCGCCACCAACCACTTCAATATTCCATGATGTTACGGTATGATTGGCAGGGCACTGGCTAAATGTATTACCGATGTCATGTCTTGACTTTTTTATATTCCCTCTTCTGTGAAAAACTCATAAGAAAACTCAGACATTAAAATCCTCTGGGATGATAATGTGGGTAGTGACCGTTGATAAATAATGACATGAACAAGCGTACTTATCTATCGGCTGTGAGTTATTTTCATATAGCTGCTTCTCTCGAGTGTCCAATTAAAAAATAAATATACTGACGAGAAATGTAAATGTATAAGATACAGTGTTACGTAAGACAAAATATTTTAATATAGGAGTTTTAATTATCGTTTTAATGAACTATTCTAAATATTTAATTTAATAAAATTATATTAAATTAAAATTTATTTAAAAATTCGCTTTAATCGCATTATTTTCTAATTACAGATTTATTCATAGATTGTCTTCAAGAAATATATTACAATGTATATATGTATAATGTAGTTGAGCTTGACGTTAAAATTTTATAAAGGTAAAGTTTCCTGAAAAATACAATAAATTAAAGAACAATATTAAACAAAGTATCTTTTAGAATCATAATGCGAATATACAACTATTCAGAAAATGAAAGCCCAAAACAATCAAGTAGAATAGTGCTTAAATGCAGTGAGAATTTTATACGCGTAAATCCAATCCTGCAAACTATGTGCCGAATTTAATTTCCAATCTCGACGCAATCCTAACAGAACTACAGTAGTAATATTAGTAATATATCACAACTTATTAGAATGACAAATTGCAATTTAATAATATTGATGCTCATGCATAGGCATTTTAGAAAGATATTAATAATCTGATGCTAACAAGCATCTAAAAAATAATTTGTAAAATAATTTGTAAAATAATTTTATTACAAAAAATATATTAATATAAATTAAAGATTATTTATTTGCTATTTTTATAAGCTATATTTACAAAAAGTCTTTGTATAATAAATTTCTTTAATAAAATTTCTCTAATAAAATTTATTATTAAATGTTTAGAATTGTATGGATCATTGTTAAATGCATTTTATGTTTATTTAACAAATAAAAAAAACAGAATTTAATATAGGTGTAATCCTGTAAGAAAGTAACCAATTACAGTTGAGTATGAGGAAAATAATCGACTATATATGATTGGTCAATTTCTTACATTAAATTTAGTACCACTAATGAACAATTAAATGTGAAATAATTATTCGTTTACTGTGAAATAATTATGTATTTATTTTGGATCAATTTTACTATATGCATTTTTATAATATATGCGCCCAGAATTTTAAGCGAAATGTCCGAATCTGTTAATTCTAGTTTTGAAAATTTTGGTATACCTTTCCAGATATCCTCTGAATGTCCTAAAGACATTTCAAGTCATTTTTCGGATGAAGTGTGCTGCATGGAAATTCTCTAAATAAATGATAAAAATTTTTGTTTCATTTTTTATAATTTCAAACTGAATTTAATCCTACTTGCATTTTCAATTGAGATTGATCATTATATTCCATTTTTATTTCATATATTAAAATATTTATTATTAAAATCAAAATAAAATATAAATAATTAGTCTACTCATTTTTACAAAAGTTTTTGTGTTAAGATAGTTTATTTTGACATAATTTTTTGCGATGTGTTTCTAATTGACGGAAACTAACTTAAAAATATGGCATTATTATGCGAGGTCATGGTCACAATCATCAATGGCTTCCGCATTTGAAGTGCTTCTTGCGAGACTTATAAATCAATCTCACCAAGCCGAATCACTTTTACAGTTGTAAACTTTCTCTAGAGTCTCTATCTTGTCTGATCATTTGTTTGTCTTATCATTATGAAACTTCATAAATGATCATATAATTCTTGGAATTCTCGTCTTTATTGGAATATCAAAATTATGACAACCATAACGGAGAATAGGGACATTATGGTTAAAAAAAATTTATCGGAATGGTGGAGCGAAGAAACTGAATATATTTTCCAGAGGATTGAGAGATGGGCGGCCTTTGCACGTGGTTACAATCGTTTTCGATCGCAGAGGTGAGAGAGAGAGAGAGAGAGAGAGAGAGACGTCCGATATTTATTATTCAAAAAATCTTCTAAAGATTACGTATAATAATAAACAACTAGATTCGAGTCTAATTTAATATATATAAAAAAGTGATGTTTTTAATATAAACAAAAATAAATCAGGTGGTTCGAGAATCAGCAAACGATGCAAGATAATTGGAACATGTCTTCCGATGAAACTCCGATAAAATTCCACAGTCTCAAACAATCCAGATGGAAATTGTCTCCAGAGGAGATTAAGATAAACTGCTGCGGTACCTTCAATTATCAATCAAACAGTAAGCTGGACAACAATTGCTTAGAAATGCACCAGTATGACCATAGCATCTACTTCAAGACTATCGGCGATATTAGAAGTGACAAAAGACACCAAATTCAGAATCAGGACGATGCATCTATTAATGTCGAGGAGTAAATTGAGAGGGATGCAACTAACTCGCTCATCGAACGGATTTCTAATAAATCATTCACCAAAAAGATTAATAATGTTTTAGATACTGTTGCTGAACAGGATAGAGTGACGCAAATGACCAATCGTACATCTATCTTTATCCGAATCTAATAGATTATCGAAGAAGAGATGAGTGGCTCTCTAGTTTAGCTGAAGATAATTATGAAGAGATAAGAGGCACAACAATAAGATATTTTTAGATAATTTAGAAGATAAAATGGATATGAAAGATTAAGAAGATAATTTAAAGAATCAGGAAAAAGCACGTTCAGGTCGTTTCAAAAAATTTGCATGTATCTTTATATAAAGAATATATAGAATATTTTATCAATCTTTATTTAAATCATGAATCATGAAAAAGAAAATTGAGACATAATATTGGAATGTCAAAAATACCTCACGCGAATAATTACAGTGAATATCGAAGTGATGACGTAGTCAACTACCGCGTCGCGACACGTGCGTTTATTTCAATAAGTTTTGTAATAAACAGATCACAAATGCATACGACTAATGGCCAAAACTAATAAATAAATTTTAAGTACTTCAGAAATGATATTTAAATATATATTTAATTGATATTTAAACAATATTTAAATTTATGATGTCGATATAATAAATTTAAGTATCAATCAAGTATCAATCATATATTTAAACATCATTTTTGCAGTACTACAAATAGCTGAAACCTTTTTTTGGTAATATTTCAAAAAATTCTAAACCACGACACGCGCTTTAGAAGAATCACTCGCATAACATGTATTTGATTATTTGATTATTTTAATTTTATACTGTACTGAAGAGAACCTAAAAACAGAAATCAAAACGTTTACTGTCAATTTTTTAAGAAAATAATAAACTGTTACATTAATAATCTGTGTTGGTTCGCGAAAAAAGGCATTTACTACATTATATTGATTTATTATATTATTGATTGATTTATTTATTTAAAAAGATTCTTTCTAACATATCATCAACCTTTCAACAAGATTTCATGTGCAAAAATTGTGGACATTTTGCTATTTCAGAGCTGTTTCAGAAATATTGCAGACATATTTTGCAATTTTTATGAAATGTTTTACTTTTCAGTTAAAATATTTCTGAAATATTTCTGAAAACTTTCGATGCTGTATGGGATCCCTAACAAACGTCGATATGTCGACTGTAAGTTGACTTTGTTAAGTCCAGGCTTTTGGAGAGTCGATTGTAAGTCGACTTTATACAGACGTCCTTCCAATATCGACTTTAGGACGTCTATTGCGATTTACGCTCACAAAGCTTAACTGTGGAATCATTTCGTCCTTGTTGTTTAGCTATAGTTAAACAAGGATGAGTGCTATTCATGAGCGTTGTGGGCATGAATCGGACTACAGCCTAGAATAGTTGACTTAAAATCGGCTTACAGTCCTTTTTAAAATGGGACATTGTATGACTTAAAGACATTTCTAAGTCATCCAAACGACTTACAGACGTCCATTTTTCAGACGTCTAGAAACTATAGTCAACTCAGAGTCAACTTAGAGTCGACTTTGTGCTGTTAGGGATGATGTATAATTTTATCTTTATTTAATGCTCTGCTAACAACAAGGATAAAATGAAACCTCATGCTCATTATGTTATTCACGTGAGGTATTTTTGATAATAAAGATTGATAAAATATACTATATATTCTTTATATAATATAAAGGTACATGCAAATTTTCTTAATATTGTGAAACAAAACGCAGCCTTAGTGACAGAAACAAATGCGATAAAAAATATTGCATTGTACGAGGTCATGACCACAATCATCATTGGCTTCTGCATTTGAGGTGCTTCCTGCGAGTCTTATAAATCGATCTCGATTTATCCATCAGGTTGAATTATTTTTACAGTTGTTAACTCTTTCATTACTGATCATTTGTTCGGGTAATAGCAGTAATTAACAACTTTACAAATAAATCATCATATAACTTTCAGTTCTTATCTTTGTTTGCAATATCAGAATATATTATAACAGAGAATATTAGGGAAAATGTGATTAAAAATAATTTGTCGGAATGTTGAAACGAAGAAGTTAAATATATTTTTAATAGGTTCAAAAGGCCTTTGTGCATTACAATTGTCTTCCATTGCAAGGGTAAGAGAATAAGAAAGGGAGAGAGGGGGGAGAGGGGGGAGGGAGGGGTGTTTGAAGATTAACGAAAGATTAACATTCAAAATGTGTTGTGTAGTTAAAACATATGAAAATTATCATCATAAGACAAAAAATGAGTCGGATTGAAAGGAGTCGAACAATTTTTCGGATTGAAAGCATTCGAATTTCGTGCTTAATGATGACGTACGCTTGTGAACAATTCTTATTGGCTCCAGAGACGTGACCATGCGCACGAACATATCTTTGTTTTGTACTATGATTCATATATATGAAGTTAATAAAAATCAGTTATTACTATACTGTGAAATTAGTTGTTAATTTGACTTGGAGTTTAATATGTAAACAAATTCATAGCAAATGGTCAATCACTGCACCAATTTAAATTATAATTATACCAACAACTTCAACGTTGCCAACAACTCTCCGAAAAATCAATAAAAGTAAAACTCGTCGAGCAGAACAATTTGTACATAAACGCATAAGAGTTTTGATCAATGAAAAACGCCAACAGAATATTATAAATAACAATTTATACACTGGTTTTATAGTTCAAAATAAATATATGTTTAATTTCTCCTTTTTTTTTCTTTTTTATATATTCTTTTTATTATTTTTTATTAATGTGCACAAAATTATATATTTTGTTTTGTTCATGTATTGTTTTATCTGACAGTTTTTAAGAAAAAAATATATCAAATATCAAGATCTTTAAAGATTTTTTTGGATTTGCACAACCAAAAAAACAGAATCAAAACACAACAACAATTCAACATAATAAATGAAATAGAATAGAATATTTTCAAATTCTAATAAAAAATAAAATATATAAAAATAAATTATTTTAATTTAAATAAAATTGTGTTACAAGGTTTTTAAAATTATTGAATATTGAAAATGATATTGAAGCATGAAAAATCTAAATCTTGATCATGAAACGTCGTTAAATTATAATGAACAATTTTATTAAGAAGTTCGTATGGTTGTAAAATATTGATTTGATATTTAACGTGTAATAAAATATAGCGTAAGTATAACATGCAATAAAATGTTTTATTATTTTATTACACGTTAAATATCAAATCAATATTTTACAGCCTTGCAAATGTTTTAATAACATTTTTCATTATAATTTAACGTTTAATAATTTTACTCTTTGTTCCATGTGCAATATTTGATATGCGATCAAGATTTAGATTAATATACATGTATATTAATAGGAACTGATGAGGATTAAAAGGATTTAATCTTTAATTTGTATAAAATACTATCCGCAATAAGTAGTTAATTAACAACGCATATTTCTATAAAATTAAAAGATTCTTGTATGTACTTATCTTTCAACAATAAATATGTTATCTTTATAATATTATTTGTTAGTTTTTAATCATCATATGAAACAACACTGTGCGCTATATTATGAAATTCTTTCATGAATAATTTGTGAAGTTTCAGATCTTATTACAAATAATTTTTATGACAATGTTTTTTATTAAACAATCCTGTAATATTAAGTTCTCATCAAATTAATTACTTAATATATAACAGAGATTTAATGTTTTAAACATGTTTAAATATATATAATATAAGATGTCCCAGATTTTTCTGTACTTTATATAACAGCACGGACCTATCAAACTAACAAAAAGTACTAAAATTTAATAGTATATTCTGTGAATTGGCAAACATATTATTAAATATAGTATATCCTAAAATGCTTTATGAAAAATTTTAACAAAAATATGAAATATATTAGGTGTTGGAATTAATTCGTAGTGTTTTACAAGTGATGGGAAGTACTTTCATTAATGTATTTTTTAATGCTCATGTGAAATAAATAACATTCTTTCATTTAAAAACGCTACGAATTAATTCCAACACCTAATATAAAAAAAATTTTACCTAAATTTGCATTTTAAGTGCCAACCGCCCATATATCAATACAAGCGTAATTTTGAATTTATGTTGAATTTATTTATTATATTATTTATTATATATTTGTCACCTTTCAATTTAGTTGTCACATTTCAATTTAGTTGTATATAATAGGGTTTAATTATTCTAATAAAAAGAATTACTATTGTTATAATGTCTTCAATTTTTTAATGAAAAACTCTAATGAACAACATCAATGGAATTAAAGAATCTCGTGAAGTCTTTCTCTTTTACGTTATTTATTGAATACTTATGTCATTTGTGATGTACTCACTGGTGCATCAGCAATTATTCCAATGAAGAAAACTGTCACTATTTTAGTTTCAAAATTTCAATCCAATAGAAACATCTAAGGTAATTATGTCTCTCAAGAAGAGAGCCTCTACCTCGGTCTTTAATATTTCTACGATTATCTATTCGTTTGATGTATACCGATATACAGGATGTTCCAAGAAGGAACACCTGAATATCTCGGAAAATATAAGTTTTACAGAAAAAATGTTTTAGACAAAAGTTGTAGAGTTTAAAAAGATCTATTTACTGATTTTATCAGTTTGATCTTGGGTGGCCAAGATCAGATCAAGATCACATCGATTTTTTTTTAGAAATGGAACACTCTACTTTTGATTCCAGAATGTAATAGCTGGTGTCGAGATCTTTCCAAAACTATGAGAAAATATTTTTTCATTCAGTACTTTTTGAGTTATGATTAGAGATGGAATCAAATTCAATGTACTTAAAAATTCAAATCAAATCCAATAATTTAGCTTCCTTTTTTAAGCCTCGAATAATACTCATAAGAAATAATATTTCGTACTTTATACTTGCAAAGTAATTGATCCCACCTTGTTAGTTTCGAATCTTACAAACGAATACCTACAAGATTCGAAATATACTTACAAAGTACTTTTTATCGTATAGAATCGAATTTTTTACAAGTAATACTCGAACTCTTACAGACTTGTTAGCGAAATACAAAAGAAAATATTCCTTATTTTTCTTGATTTTCCCAGTCATTTTTTGAAAAATTTCCCTGACTAAAAATTTGAAAAAGAGAAACTTTGAATAAAATAAAAAAAAATGTTAAAATATTTTATTTTACAAACAGTATTATAAAATACAAATATATATTTGGAAAATGAAATAAAGTATAACTTTTATTATTAATTTTAAATATTTTATGAATATTTTTAACAAATAAAAATTTCGTTTTGAACAAAATTTCATATGATATATGTTTGCATTTTTACTTTCGAGCATTTCGAACAGTACATTTAAGGTACATTTTAGCATTTAATTATAGTATAGTAGTAAATACTCCTTTTTAACCTCTTTTTAATCTTGAACACACAAATTGTTATTGAACACACAAATATATGTAAATTTGAATGTTGTATTCACTATTGAAGAAAATGCCGGACATTCTTGTGATATCCGATTATAATGTCTTTACTAATGCTCTTTCTTGTTTTTATATTGCAACAGTTATTTGATATCGATTATAATTCTACTCATCTCTTTATACTATGAATCGATAAATGTCGATTCATAATAGATACATAATTGTAAATCGAATATGTATTAATCTCAAAAGTGAGAAGGCATTTCAAAAAATCTTCTTTTTTTTGCGTAATTATAATTTTCATAAGTTTCGGGCATATTTGATGTGGGTTTGAATCTACTCTGAAATACTGCTACTATTTTTCGAAGTGATCATAGAGAGTTCGAAATTGCTTCAACAAATTCGAATCTACTTATAAGATACTTAATCTCATCGCTAGTTATGATACTTGAAAGTTACAGTACCGGCATTAGCCAAGATGTATCACACAGAGATTGCCTAGGTGGATTTATACGTCTTTTGTGCTCAGAGAAAGATGCATTGGAAAATAATGCAGCTAATGAAGGCAAGATCGGACGATCCAGTCATTGATTGGATCGTTTGATCTTGCCTTCATTGACTGCATTATTCTCCAATCTTTGCAACCTCCGCGTGGTACATCTTAGGTAATGCTAATGCCGGCGGTACTGTAACTTTCAAGTATCATAAAGTACTAATGAAAAAAATATTTTCTTATAGCGTTTTGGAAACCTCTCGACACCAGCTATTAGATTCTGGAATCAGAAGAATCCATTTAAAAAAATCGATGTGACTTTGACCTGACCTTAGCGATGTCACCCAAGGTCAAACTGATAAGATCAAATAAATCTTATTGAACTCTACAACTTTTATTTGAAACACTTTTCTGTAAAACTTATATTTTCCAAGATATTCAAGTGTCCTGACTTTTTTGGAACACCTTGTATATGTGGTATCCGCGGTACACTTGTTCCTGTTACATATATATAGAATTGTTCAGATAAGGGGAGTTCCCTCTATCACTATACCATTCTCGCGGGGTAGCGCGCATGCACCGGTTGAAATTGTTGAGGGTGGGGCAGGAGCCACGCACGCAACACGTATTCGCAAATCTTCTCGCAAATCGATCGCACGAACTCCACTCATTGCCCAGGTTAGACTTAGGTAGTGCGTAATAACCCATATCCCGACTATATCGAAAGGGTTTTGTCGCAATCAAATAAATCAAAGATAAATATTCTAGTATGAGCAAAGCACGACTGGAAACCATGGCCACGATGACCTGCATGAAGACCTTGCTAATGCTCTTCAATTTCATCTTTTGGGTAAGTAGAAAGATCTCCAAAACTCCAACACATTGTATGATTATGGACTATTCTTATCACGTATCTTGGTCCTATCCAACTGTTGCACAATTGATTAGCATTATAGTACCGGAATTGAATCTGTTTATTTCACGAGGGACAGGAGAATAATAATGATCTATGTCAATGTCTAAGCTTCTATTCGAAATCGAGCATCTGGGGAATGAGTACAAAGCCGTAAATGTGCGACGATTGATGAATATGATCTTGAATGTTATGCCCGTCTAGATAATGTGAAAAGCTCTTAAATCTCATTAATATTATTATAATACAAAAAAAAATTAGAATTTACTTAGATATTTATTAATCCTACAAAATTTAAGAATATGTAGTTTTAAATTGGAACACATCAACATAGTAATATATACACATATATATTAATTATTATAGTTAAATGAAATTATAAATTAAATTTTACGTATGTGAATGATGCACATTTTTTACTTGATTATATTATTCATAAAATATAATAAAAATATGTATTACATAAAAACATATTTTTTCATATTTGATTTGTGAATTATGTGCCGTTGTGACGAACTATACATTTCTACCATTTATATTTAACCTTGAACCTTTGAATCAGTTCAGAATTTTCAAGCGCGTTAATTATGACTTATCTGCAAACCGTACGTTCGTAAACATATGAGTACATACGCGACCATTATCGCTTCTCAAACATTAGTGACAATTACTTATGTCAGCTTAAAAATACGATCGATTACTAAATAATTCGTGACATTTCTCGATTTCGTCGACATTATTTTATTCTTTAAACTAGGGATAAATTAAAAACTGCAACACATTGGATTAAGGATTTGCGGAGGAGCATAGACTATTGATATTCCGTATCAATATGAATCAAAATACACAATATTGATACAACGATATATTGATTGGAAATGATTCGATATTCGGGAATATTGTTACTTTTTTTGCATATTTTATTATATAGAGACATGCGGAGATCACAAATTTTCAATTTTAAAGAAAAATTAAAAAAAAATTACTAGGTAAATTCATTTAATTAATTAAATTCATTAACTAAATTTAAATTCACTTAATTTAAATTAAATTCATTTAATTTAAATATAAAATTATAAATATTTTAGTAAATTTATATATACAAATGAAAATGGAAGAGAAATTGAGGGGAATAAAAAATTATGCATTTATACATTTTATACAATACATATATTTGTCATTTTATACATATAAGTCTATCAACTAACAAAGATAATGTGAAACATTATCACAAAATTTCTTTTAATTTTATTCATGATGGTGTTGATCGCGTCGTTAATTGTCCTCGAATTGACTTGTTACGTTTATGCGGTTGAAAATTTTGAAAATACAACCTTTGTATCGAATCAATTGATATTTACATTCCAGATCCGACAAGCTACGATACGAAAACTAAAAGTTTCGAATATCAAATATCGAATATTAAAAAGGGTAATGATACGATATTTCAAAATATCGATTATATCGGAACATCCCTACACTGGATCAGTACATTAAGGCCCAGTTGCACCAATGTCACTTTGATTTTAAGCGAGATTTAAAATTCTATCTGTCTCGTTTTAAAGCCAAGAAGAAGAGACAGAGACAAAAAGAGTTTTAAGCTTCGCTTAAAATCAAAGTAACGTTAGTGCAATCGAGCCAAAAAGATTTTTAATTGTTTAAAATATTTAAATGCTTTTACATTTAATTTGCGCTTTGCTAATTTTATCACGTGTAGCATTTTTTGATATGCATTATTTTAGTATAATGCAAGAGATTGACCGAATTCGCTATAATAAGATATTTTGCATCTAAAATATTACACCTTCGAACATGATATTTATACATTATTGTGCACAGTATTATACTTTAATAAAAGGAGATATACCATAGAGAAAACTTATCTTAATTTTATTAGATATCTGTACTCGACAAAGACACAAATTTTTATTAGAACCAATGGCTCTATCTTAATTATTTATTAATTAAGCGCGTTCTTTTCTTAGTTGAAGGGATTTCTAACTAAACGTTGCAAACATTTTTATAGTAATATTCACGTATAGTGTTTTTTTTTTTATTGAAAAGTGATGTTTCAATAGAAAAATTCTTCGCGCGCATTGCTTGCATTTGCTGTTTTTTTTCTTTTCTGTAAAATTTAAGAAATGTTGGGTGCAACGTTCTTTCCGGGAGCCCTTTAATTTTTTCAAAAACAATTAGACAATTACTTCGCGATAAATTATTCGGCGAGAGTTTCTTGATATTTTGTATATTTTTTCAGGCGTCCGGGGTGTTGATGTTATGCATCGGAATATGGATGCGTATCCAACTGCGAGATTATATGAATATGAACGTGCAGGGCAGTGGAGCTGCTTTACTGGCACTTGCGAGTTTAGGTGCGGTGTTAGCGGTCGCAGCGGTCCTCGCCTGTTGTTGCACTGCACGTGGTCATCCTGCTCTCCTGTATTTGGTAGGCATTTAATCTATTTCAGAATTTAGCAATCTATTATGATTTCATAATACAATTAATGATTCGCACAAAGAATCAGCATGTAGAATACATATTGGAATAGACACACGTGTGTCTGTATGTACACACCCATGCTTTAATAAGATTATAAGATTATAAATAGAATTCCGTCGTAAATTAAAATAGACTTCAGGTCCCTCAGGAACGACAGGATAAAGTTACAAATCGATACTCGATGTGATATCATTATATAAGAGGAAAGAGACTTTTAAAGAGAAAAATGATACTCGCTGCGTTTTTGTAATATTATTATAGGTATATTAACAAATTATATCGTAAATGTGTGTAAATTTGCAAATCTGCAACAATTGGAATTATTTACGGTTAATATATTGATCAGGGGAGACTTTGATCTTGATATATGTTGTCAAGATCATGAGTGACCTCCAAGTTTTAACTATTACTCATTATTCGTTAAAAAGTTATTAAAAAAAAAAAGTTTAAGAAATAATGTTTTTATTTCTGCTAATATACAATATTACAATATTAAGAACTCCATATCCTCTCTACTAAGGGGCATTGGATTTTTTACTCGAAGCGAATTTCACTTCACCTTTTCTCTTGTTTAGTGGCACATAAGGCAAAGGGGGAGGTGGAGATGGACTTCGTTTCGCGTGGAAAGTTGATGTTCCTAGAGGTTCCTCCAGGTCGAGTGCGGAGTAGTTCTTAATATTGTATAAAACAGAAATAAGACGTTATTTCTTAAACTTTTTTGTTAATAATTTTTTAATCTATTATAAATGACGAGCGACGGCTCTTAGAGATTTAGGATCTCCGTTTCATCGGAGTGGTCTCCTCCGACCGGCATATTTATTATCTCTAGAAGTAGAGAGTCCCTGAAATAATGATTTACCTTTATAATTCTTTTCTTTTCGTTTGCGTAGTACGGTGCGTTTCTGGCTGTCGTGGCTTTACTAGAACTCGGTGCGGGCGCGTCGGTTTACGCTTATCGCACGAGCTTGAACGAGGGATTTGATCAAGGTCTGAACGAAAGCATGGCTGCCTATGGACAGGACCATTCCAAGAGCACACACATCGATACCATGCAATCAACTGTGAGTATCTCAATGTAGTGTTTCTATTCTACCTTCAGTTATTCCGATTGTCCTGTCAATTCAATATCGATTATTCGAAACTGAACGTTCGTATTTCACTATATGAGAGAAATTACGACAGACGAAGTAAGAGATGAGATCTTGCTCATTTTTCATTCCCCGCGACACAGTTGCGTTGTATCGTATATTTGAAAAAAATTAATCAATTACAGTTGCATTGCTGTGGCAATCGCGGTTATGTTGATTGGCTCAATTTGGATCCGCCGAAGGAAGTTCCCTCATCCTGTTGCAAAGTGCTACAGAATAAATGCGACACATCGGATGTAGAGGAAATTTATACTGAGGTATATATTTTATTAATTATTTATATTTTTGAAAGACAGAAAGAGAGAGAGAGAGAGAGAGAAAAAAGAAAAATATTTTACTTATATCAGGATGCAACATAGTGAATTATTAACATGTTCACTGTCTTGGTATTCATTTATGATGGACGCCTTAATGATTATTGATGATGAACTAATGAAATTTTATAAAAAAACCCTTGTAAAAAATAAATATCTGACATAAATTTTTGAATGACGTGACTAGCTTAATATAAAATACAAAGGATACAATTAAATGTATTCTATCAGGATTATTTAATTAGTTTTATTTAATTATCAAACAATATTTTATATATTGTATGCTTTTTTTCATGAAAATTCTATTATGGTGTATATAATAATAGTAAGTCATAAAACTCACTGAGCAGACGTGTAAAAATCTCTTGATTGCTATCTCATAATAATTGATAATTACAATTCGTAAAAGAAACTAAGAAAGAAATAAACGTAATAAAAATTTAAAAAAATATAATGAATGTAGAAGATAAAAAAGAGAAAAATTAATATGAGAAATTAGAGTCAAATCGAATAAGTAGTTTTTTTCAATTCTTTTATTTCTTTTGTTTTTTGGAGGGAGTTTCTACAGTTTTTTTATAATTCCTTTTCACAGGGATGTTACAATCGCTTACTGGATCTCATAAATAGCAACATCGGTCTGGTGGCCGGTACAGCGATCGGCGTAGCTTTTTTCCCACTAGTTGGTATCTTTCTAGCATGCTGTCTAGCCAGCAATATCAATAAGGCCGAGTACGAGCAAGTTGCTTAGGCATGGCATTTGCGCAAACTGCAACGACGGTCCTATCAGAAAACAAAGCCTGTATCGCTAACGACAACGGCGAACATATATGATTTAATGAGAACACGGAAATGATCTCAATCGAGGCAAGCGCGCATTTTACCAATTCGATTTTAGTTGACAATTTGGTACGAAAATTAATTAAAAATGTATAATATAAAGTCCACACTTGTATATGAAGTTATGTCTAAAATGGATCTTATACATAATTGTGTCATATTTGTATCATTCTTGTATTAATTTTTGTTGCTTACTTAAGCCCTCGATTAAATTCGTGCTTTCATGTTCTGGCTAAATCATTCTAATCAAAATTAATATAAATCGATAATGTTATATCAAAGTATGATGTTTACTTAATACTGTTACAAGATGTAATAATCTTCTCATATATTTAGAATTTATTTGAAGATTAATCTTCAAATAAATATATTTCATACAACAATTAAAAAGAACATATAAAAGATCTTAATATACATAATATTAAGATCTTTTAAACAAAGCATTTACAAATTAACATGTTAGCAGACAGAAGAGAATACGAAATATACTAATTTGAGACAAGTAGTCGCTGATGAACAAGTCTCTTTGAATATGATTTATAAAACTTTTTTAATGTTAAAAAACGTATGAAAGATATCTAGATTATTGAATAAAACATGACATATTCCTTTGCATAAGAGGATTAAATAACGCTGTAGAATGCGAACGACGCATGACTAGCATTTTTGGATTAACAGTAAAAATATGACTTGATTATTGCTAATGTTAAAAATATCGAATCGCATTGTGAACAAACTGAAAAAAAATTTTAATTTCTATATAAGTTCTAAAATTTGGTGAAAATCAAATGATGTGTGTATATATAACATATATTATGTATATGTGTATATATACATACATACATATATACGAAAATAGAACAAAGCATAAAAATATATCGACAGTCTAAATTATTATCTTTATCAATAGAATCACAATGCGAAGAATAATAACGATAAAGTTCATTTCACGAATGCCTGTGTGTGACAACGATATGGTGCGATAGATAAAACAAACTTCTACATTTTTTAATATTCTATGAATCCTTAGATGTAGCAACAACTTCTTCTCTTCGGCTCTTAATCTCTTACAAACTCTTATTCTATAAGTCTTTAAATCCTTTTAACTCGTTAAATTCTTCACACTCTTAAATTTTCCATACTTCGCATTTTCAATCCACTAGCATTCTTAAAAATTCTATATATTCTATCATTCTATATATAATATTATATAGAATCACATGTAGTCTATCTTCTATCTTCCTCTGCCTTCAAATACTTAATTATGATTCATTGTGCGTTTAAAATCGTGGCTGTCCTTATTTTATATAAATTGGCTTCGATTTTGCATTAAACAAATGAAACTTAAAATCAGACAATCAGCAAAATCAGTATTAAATATTAAATGGAAGTAACATATCCATTTTGAGTAATTATCGGACAAAAATAGCGAAACAAGCAAACATTTTCTTATTATAAAATATTGTTTTATGTTCTATCTATAAAATAATCTGAGAATTAATTTAATTTAATTTAGTTTTAATTTTTTTTGCTGTGAAATTAAAAAAGAAATATATATAATAAAAAAATAATAAATAAAAATAAATATAACAGTCGAACGTAACTTACGAGCATAATTATGCAATCTTCTCAAATAAATAGTAAGATATAAATGTAAACTCATTTGAAGGCATAAATATTGTGTTCTTCAAGCAAATGGTTGAAAAGCATTGATATTATAAATAAGCTCCCTCCATAGCGAAACATTCAATTAATTTTCAAATATTCATAACTAATTTTATATTATATATTTGTACAATTCATTTTTTGAAATCAATGGGAATAATAATTCAATTAATTTGAATAGAAAATTATTCAGAAGAAAAATTGAAAAGAAATATTCCAAATAACATAAAATCTTTTTTAAAAAATCCACAAAGAAAAATAAAAAAAATTTAGTCCAATTCTGTGATATTTTTCAAACTTTTTTGCTTCTTGAACTCTCTAAATAACTTAAAAATCTAATCTAAAAATATCTTTAAAATCTTTAAAAAATTTAGATATTGATTATTCAAATATTTTTTAGATTTTTGTATCATTTACATTTTTAAATTCAAATATTGATTCACTTATCTTTATGATTTTCAGCCTGTGATTCCAGCAAAACATTAGTATAATATATAATGTGATATTAATTATCGAACAAAAAACAATCAAAATTTATTACTGAAACTATACTGATTATTCCATGACAATTATTTAACAATTTTTTATATATATAAAATTATCGTTAAGAGAAAAAATTCCATATTTGTATATCATCATGGTTACATATAAACATTTTATTTCTTGAGGGAAGATTAAGATGTAATGTCCCATTACAAGAAAAAAATTCAATTATTTGTTACACCATCATATTTCTATATATAATATATATACATATATATAAAATTAAAGTTGAAATATAAATGTACATATATACATATGTACATATACATGTACGTATATTCATTTATTTATTATAGAAATTTAATGTGTACAAAGTAAGACACTTAACTTGATAATTTTTTTCTATTTCTATTAGAAAGAAATAAGAAAACTACTCCATTTTAAAAGACATGTTACATTGTTTTTATATATTACTATATATTTTTTGTTACATTATCTTATGTATAACTAGATATATTATAATTCGATATAATCATTAAAGTATCATATAATACATTATTAATAAAAATATCAAATAAAATTAAACAAAAACAAGCATGTTAATTGTCCTACTTTGTACTATAAAATTATGAAAAATATATTACAGAAAAATTATTTTATAGACTATATATATATTCAGGTTTATGGTACGTAAAGAAAGAGGTCTAACATATAAGCCTTATTTACAAATATTCCCCAACTATTCTCTGTAATGCGATGTCAAGGCTGTGTCGAGGATGTATTGTACATTGCGCAAACTCATAGCCAAATCAATATCTAATTGTTTACAATGTTACGGCTTTTGTGTATGTTTATTGTGTATTACAGAATATGTGCATTTTGCATAAATTCTGATGAGCCTTAAATAAAAGTCAGTGAAATATCATGCTTTCATTAATTGCCTAATAAAAATGAATCTTTATGTTTAAATCAATATCTTTTAAGATATTTTCTAAATTTTTATTTTGATATTTTATTGTACTTTTTATATGATTTATTGATCATTATTACTATTCTATATAATCAGAATTTATTTTAATTTTTATTCTATTTATTTTACAAAATAAATCTATATCTTTTTAATAAATTTATATTTATAGAGTTAATTTTGTTATTAATTATGCATACATTATACACAATATATATATATATACTTATATGAGCATGTATAATAAAAATAATGACTTATATTATCTGATAATGATTAAATATAAAAAAATATTTATAATCATAATTATATAATTCTCCTATACCTATTCACCTCCTTTCTATTGCATTATTCTTTCTTTTAATATATAAAAAGTTATTTTTTATTAAAGGGGGTAATAGAAATTTATTCAAGATTTCTTTTTACGCTTGGAATGCCTAGAGATAGTCTCGCGACTATTTTATAAAAATACCGAATTCGGTTGAACGCAATAGCGCATATTGAAACTGTTGTACATTGATTTATCCGTATTCATAGTCATACTTTCTGTTTGAGATCGGTAATTCGAAAGAAAAGCAAGAAATTCTTTCAGTCGACCGACAGTAATTGTCATTGAACGCACGCATAAAGTGAGCTCGTGATTTCATCTCGAGCATGATCTAAATCCGTTCTTTGTTCTTTTTAAAAACAAGTCGTTACACGCAAACAAGTTGTCGTTACCGGCAACGGACAATCGAAAGTACTAGAACGATTCAATTCGCGCACGCGAGCGCATCGCTCCGACGAATACGTCACGCGCTGTCACCAATCCCACGCACGGATTTTCTGTCGCGTATGACTGTTACGTTGAACGTCGTTAGACAAGAATCCAAAGCGCCAATCAATTGTGTACACCTAATGCCACGTAATAATTACGATTGTGGCAAAATTTTATTGGATTTTTTCCAAGAAGAAAGCCCAGGCCGAAAGCAATAAATGCTTCGATCTCGCCGGCCTCCTTCTTAGAGTCTAAAAGTTCTTAGAGTTCTTAGAGTCATAATCTCGCTACTATATCGCTTCGTAAAATCGCCGTGCTAACCGCTTAGTGAAAACCGCTATAAAACGAATCTTTTCGAGAAGTGCCGAGAAAATCGCCGAGATTTTCCATTACCGCGATTCCAAAATATCATTTGAAAAAGGTGACCGCATTTAATATTCTGTTAATCTAATATTTAATTAATTATATTTTCTGACTTTGTAACTGAGCATATTAAAGAAAATTCTTTTGTTAAATTACAAAGAAACG